TGTAATAATGCTCACTCTTACCCACCTGGACACATCTGTTTGTGTCCCATGTATTTTTTATTTATACAAAATTGTTGGTTTATTTTTTTAATTTAGATTTTGTACTAGTTATAATCTAATGTTCTTAAAGCTAGTTTTGTAAATTAACTATCTATATTTAGTACATTAAGTATATCTGATGTTAGAAAGCAAATTGAGGTTTATATTTGTCATTGCTTTCGAGCAAAGTATAAGGTATTTTTAGCCTATATATAAACCTCAATTTGCTTTCTAACATCAGATATATTAATCAATATTTTTCCGAGTAAAAGGTTTATCAAAAAATTTTGTTTTTAAATATAAATGCACTTTAATAAGTACTGTAGATGCCATGCACTTTTAATCTAAAGAAAATCTAATATAAATATTAATAAATATACAATAATTACACAATAATACACAATTATATTACACAATAATAATTGTGTTAGATAATTGGTTGTTTTTAGACATTTAGTTTGAACATAAAAACATTAAGTGTTTTTGAGTATTAATTAAGAAATGATATCTACCATTTATCTTAACCTGGAACATAGTACAAATGATGTTAATTAACTCAATTTGTGACCAAAAAAATATATGATTTCGTTGGTGAAATTAATCTCTGATCTTAAAACATAAAATCATATTTATTATTAATATTAACTGATTTTTGCATTATAAAAATTATTTTAAATAAACCTAGATGAAATATAGAAATGATATTTTTGAAAACGCTTTAACTGCAATAAGATTGTGCTAGTTTATTAATAAACCTATTTTTCAATTGAAAGTGCCGGTGTGTACGTTGTGTACAGTGCCAAGTCTATAAAGTATGGATTAGACCAAGATAAAGTACAAATCACTTATTATTTTTTTTAAATATGTGGGATAAGTTAAAGTAGGATGTTTTGAAAATATTGATAAGGCCTTTTGTGATAATTGTGATAAGTACAATTTTTGATAATTCATATAAATATTATTCAATATATATATAATAATTTAGATAAGTTTAAATTAAATATAATTCATATTTTACTGTAATTTGAAATTAGTTTAAAGATATTAATATTTTAATGATTTTTATTTGTTAAACTTTTAAATAAAAAATAACAACCAATTAAAATTACGCTAAAATTAATATTCATTATTTATTGAGTTAGTTGTTATCAATTGATAACTAGGCACTTTAACATTGAAATGTTAAATGGTTATGATAGTAAGTACCAAGAATTGTTAAGTAATCATACGATATTTATTAGATGTTAATTATTTTAACTTGACCTTGCCTAAGCTTACCTATATAATAATTTTCACTTACTATAATTATTATAAATTAATTGTTTTATTTAGTGGTAACTACTTATTACTAAAAATATGAAAACTAATATAGGTATTAAAATTAATCATTGATAACAAAATTACTTTTAAAACTTTGACAACACAATAGCAAATCTTACATGAAATATAAATTTATAATCAATTATAATTATAATGCTACAGTTATACTCCTATCGATCGTGACCCTGGTCAATGGGTGTCCAGAGTATTGCAACGACATTAACAAAGACGACATTGCACCTTGCACCTGTCAGGATGGCCGGGTAAGGTGTGTGGCCATTGACGACGTTGACTTGGATAGTGTGTTTGCCTATATAGCCGATGGCATAGCGTATGGCACCCGGGAGTACGAGTCGTTTGAATTGGAGAGCACTTATATATCAACATTAGGCCCAGCAGCATTTCACGGCCTTTTGTTCAAGAAGTTTATATTTACGACTTGCTCCAATTTGACCTGTATCAGTCCCGCAGCTTTTGAGGGCCAAAAGTCGACCACCATATTTACGGCTGAAAATACGCCATTTTCGTGAGTAACTTAATCAAATACAAATGCATATATTTTGAATCAGGGCCCTTATAGTAATAAATACTATAATTGATGAAATGAATTTAAAAGTTTTGTTCTATTTAGAATTTAATATTGTTGACAATATAACCTGGGTAAAGTTTAGAGTACAGGGCAAATTACTAATTTAGAAATAGGCTACAAAAACCAGTAATTAATTTTTAAAAATCCTTAAATATTAGTCTCTATATTTTATATTTATTATTGTCCACATTTATTAATGTAATACTGTATTCGGAAACATAGCCAATAATTGGTACATTATATCTGGCCTTAGAAAGCAAATTCAGGATGATATATAGGCTATGAATTTAAATATTTTTCATTGATTTCGAGTAAAGTATAAAACTTAATAATCATATATATAATCCTGAATTTGTTTCTAAGGCCAGATATGCTGTAAACGGACAATTATTTTGCGCAGCAAGCTGATACATAACCTAAGCAATATTTTAAATAAAACCACACTGTGTTTATTACTTTATTTACCGACAATTAAAGCATTTTAACAAATAACTTATTTCTACAGTACATTAAATATTTCATTTTGTATATGAAAAGGTCCCCGGTGACCGCCACGTGCGATTTGTTCAGCGCATTGAGTACATTGACAAATGTGAACCAGATCAATATAGTCAACCATCGAATACCGCAAATACCGGACAATGCGTTCAACGATAAGATGGGAGTATTGGAGAACCTACGGACCATTGATTTGCACAGCACGGGCTCATTGGGCACCATAATCAGTGTGGGCAACAATTCTTTCTCGACACTTAAAAGTATGTACTAGGACACACATTTTAAATATACAATACACTTTATTCATATGAAATATAAAACATTTGCCTTGGTTAAGTAAATTCCAAATATTACAACTAAATAGTCATTGGGGTAGGTGGTTGAGGGTTCATATAGCATATACTCGCTTATACCTTGACTAAATATTTAAAAAAATATAGTAAATCTAATTTAATTATAATAAAGCAAATAAGAAAAAAACTTTTATACATGTTAACAATAATTATGCTACTTTAATAAATCATTATTTTAAAATAATTTTCAATCAGATTTGAACATGGTGAACTTATCCAACCAGAAAATTGTCGCCATCAATGACTCGGCCTTCCAGTTCCCGCGAGCCAATTGGGATCACATAACAATTAACCTTGAGCATAATAACCTAAACGGTAGTAGGTTGGGGTCGCACTTATTTCCCACGAACAAAGTGACCACGCTCATGTTGGCCGGCAATATGAACCTGACGTACTTACCCGACGGCGCTTTCTACGACTTTTTCGAGGAGAGGGGTCACGACAAGAATACGTGCGATATGTTGGGCATCCAGATGGAGATTGACCGGCTCAATATGTGGCTCGTGGACAATAAAGTGACCATGAAGCTAGATCAAAAATTATTGCATGCTATGGGAAAGGATGGGACGGAACTCCTAAAGCATACGCACAAACAGATGGATGTGGCGCCGCCCGCAGCCAACGCGGTGTACAATCACACGATAATATTACATGATTTTCAATGAATTGCTTATCATTTTAAACATTTAAGTTATAATATTTAAAAATATTATCAAGCAATATTTGTTTTGAATGTATTTTTATAATAAAGCAAATGTGTATTTTATATGATTTAAGTCGCAATACAAAATACAATACTAATTAATATTAAATGAAAAATTAATTATGATTATTCAAAATGATTAAACAATAAAATGGCCTTATCAATTTTTAAAAATATTTTTTAACTGTACTACTTAGCATTATGTGATAGGCTGTCTCTAAATGCATAAATTTAAGTCACCTATCACACATTCATAAGATTAATGCAATTACCTATAGTTCATTATTTGTTAAACAATAATAATACTGGATATTTATATAAAATTAATTAATAAAGAAATATTTCTAGATAATGAAATTATATATAATGTGTACCTAATAATAATCAAATAGACTGTGAATATTAGGCAAATGTATTTCAAAGTACAAAACAATTGGTGATAACATTATAAATATTCCGAGAATTGTATTGCATTTTCTAATTGAATAGATAATACTGTAAATTAAACATGTGTTTACTATACAGTACAAAGAAATTGTCTATTTATATGGAAACATTTTGTACAAATTATTTATTTGTATATTTTGTATATTAAGTATATTCAGAATTATAAAATTAAATTAAGATATATAATAAAATATGTTTGCTATAATTTATGCAATAGGTAAGTTAATAGAAATTATATTTATGCAATGCTATGGTAAAAATATAGTAGAAAGCATATTATTTATAATATTATTTAATTATAGCATTATTTTGGTCATCTACCAGTTGACATATTACCATGCACATGTCACAACAACCACATTAAATGTGTAGCAACAACTAAAGAACTGGACCTTGATGACTTTTTCGATGCATTAGCCCACGTAACTAATGACACCTTATATTATAAATCATTTGAATTAGTAGACACTGCCATAACCTACCTGCCCCCAGCGGCATTTCACGGTGTACAATTTGGTGAACTAAAATTTACCGGCTGTTCAAATCTTCAATGCGTTGATCCCCGTGCTTTCGAGGGGCTGGCATATAATACAACCAGTTTTATGGTTGAGGTCAGCGATTTTAGGTAAGCTAACCAATATTATTTATATAAATATACCCTGAAATATTTTTTAATTTTTAATTCTATAACTAATCTAATAGTAATTAATAACTGTTTGTCTATTATAGAGGTGTCGACCCTCCCAACTCTACCTGTAATCTGTTCGCAGCGTTGAGTACATTAACAAATGTGGAGACTATTAATATAGTCGGCAGTGAACTGACAGTTATTCCCGATAATGCCTTTAATCACAATACCGGTGCTCTCACTAGGCTTAAGAATATTGACTTTGGGGGTCGACAGACAAAGGGAAAGATATATAAAGTTGGCAAAAGAGCCTTTTCTACACTAAAAAGTTAGTAAATTTACCATTTAATTATTTACAGCTACCATTCAGTTTTATTATACTATTTATATATAACATTTAATGCATACAGGTATGTTTTAGAATCTTAAATTAGTTTTAAAATAAAAATAAAATTTTCAAATGATAATTCTGGACTGATATAATTGCATACATAATATATTGTAATCAATCAATCCCAATTAATATATGAAATAATATTTTATACATACAACATATTTAACTAAATTTAACATTACAGTTTGTCATAATTAAAATAGTTTCCTTAAACAGACAATTAATAAATTATTATTAACTCACATGTGTATGCTATCACAAACAATTTATTTTTTATATTATTTTTTAATTTTCAACTTTATTTTATATAAATATTATAAAAAAATATAGTAAACCTAATTTAATTATAATAAAGCAAATAAGAAAATTCTTTTATACATTTTAACTATAATTACGCTACTTTAATAAATTATTATTTTAAAAATAATATCCAATCAGATTTGAACATGGTGGACTTATCTAACCAGAAGATTGTGGCCATCGGCGACTCGGCCTTCCAGTTCCCGCGAGCTAATTGGGATCACATAACAGTTAACCTTGAGCATAATAGCCTAAACGGTAGTAGTTTCGGGTCGCACGTATTCCCCACGAATAAAGTGACCACGCTCATGTTGGCCGGCAATGTGAACCTAACGTACTTACCTGAAGCCCTTTCTACGACTTTTTCGAGGAGAGGGGTCACGACAGGAATACGTGCTATATGTTGGGCATTCCGATGGAGATTGACCGGTACAATATGTGGCTCGTGGACAATATAATGATCATGAAGCTAGATCAAAAATTATTGAATGCTATGGGAGAGGACGGGATTCTACTCCTAAGGCATACGCACAAACAGATGGATGTGGCGCCGCCCGCGGCAAACGCTGTGTACAATCACACGATAATATTATACGATTTTCAATGAATTTTGTATAATTTTAAAATTTAATATTTTTTCTTTTATGTGTTGTAATGAACATTTAAATTATAATGTTAAAAAATAGTATCAAGCAATATTTGTTTTAAATTTATTTTAAAAATAAAGCAAATGTGTATTTTATATGAATGATGTCACAATACAAAATACAATAATTAATATTAAATGAAAAATAAATCAAGATTATTCAAAATTATTTAACAGTAAAATGATCTTTATAAATTAACCTTTATTTCTAAACTATAATACAGGGATGACAAAAAATGGCAGTGCTACTTTGATTTTAATGCTACTATGAGATAGGCTTTCTGTAAGACAAAGGTATAATATCTCTGAAATTCAGAGTCTGAATACATAAACTTAAGTCACCTATCACATATTCATAATATTAATACACTTACCTTAAGTTTATAATAAAATATAATTAATTTGTGTGGGTAATATTTTTATCTATTTATATCAATCAATGAATTGATAAATTAATAAATGAAAGATTATTTGGTGAAATGCATTAATAAATTTGATAAGTACCCGGAATAATTAAATAAATATTAGATGTTCAGTTAATGTTTATACCTATATAAATACAGGTTATTTGTAATAAGTACAATTTTTGATAATTCATATAAATATTATTCAAATTATATATAATAATTTAGATAAGTTTAAATTAAATATAATTCATATTTTACAGTAATTTGAAATTAGTTTAATAATATTAATATTTTAATGATTTTTATTTGTTAAACTTTTAAATAAAAAATAACAACCACTTAAAATTGCGCTAAAATTAATATTCATTATTTATTGAGTTAGTTGTTATCATATGATAACTAGGCACTTTCACATTGAAATGCGTAAATGGTTATGGTAGTAAGTACCCAGAATTGTTAAGTAATCATATGATATTTATTAGATGTTAATTATTTTAACTTGACCTTGCCTAAACTTACCTATATAATAATTTTCAATTACTATAATTATTATAAATTAATTGTTTTATATAGTTGTAACTACTTATTACTAAAAATATGAAAACTAATATAAGTATTAAAATTAATCATTGATAACAAAATTACTTTTAAAACCTTTTACAATACAATAGCAAATCTTAAATAAGTATAAATTTATAATCAATTATAATTATATTGCTACAGTTATACTCCTATCGATCGTGACCCTGGTCAATGGGTGTAAAGAGTATTGCAACGACATAAATCAAGACGACATTGCACCCTGCAGCTGTCGGGATGGCCGTGTAAGGTGTGTGGCCGCTGACGAGGTGGACCTGGATAGTGTGTTTAGCTATATAGCCGATGGCATAGCGTACGGCACCCGGGAGTACGAGTCGTTTGAATTGGAGAGCAGTTCTATATCAACATTAGGCACGGCAGCATTTCACGGCCTTTTGTTCAAGCAGTTTATATTTACGAGTTGCTCCAAACTGACCTGTATCAGTCCAGCGGCATTTATGGCTCAAACGTCGACCACCATATTTACGGCTGAAAATACGCCATTTTCGTGAGTAACTTAATCAAATACAAAAGCATACATTTTGAATCAGGGTCCTTATAGTAATAAATACTATAATTGATGAAATTAATTTAAAAATTTTGTTTTATTTAGAATTTAATATTGTTGACAATATAACTTGGATAAAACGTAATAAAATAGTTTATAGTACAGGGTAAATAACTAATAGGCAAATAGGGTAAATAGGCAAAAACAATTCGCAATTAATTTTTAAAAATCCTTAAATATTAGTCTCTATATTTTATATGTATTATGTTTATTACTGTATTAAATGTTTATTATCCACTTTTATTAATGTATAATAATATTTATAATATTTGGTAATATAGCCAATAATTGGCACACTATATGCGCAAAATGGACAATTATTTTGCACAGCAAGCTGATACATAACCTAATCAATATTTTAAATAATACCACACTGTGTTTATTACTTTATTTACCGACAATTAAAGCATTTTTACAAATAACTTATTTCTACAGTATATTAAACATTATTTCATTTTATATATGAAAAGGTCCCCGGTGACCGCCACGTGCGATTTATTCAACGCATTGAGTACATTGACAAATGTGAACCAGATCAATATAGTCAACCATCAAATACCACAAATACCGAACAATGCGTTCAACGATAAGAATGGAGTATTGAAGAACCTAAGGACCATTGATTTGCACGGCACGGGCTCATTGGGCACCATAATCAGTGTGGGCAAAAATGCTTTCTCAACACTTGAAAGTATGTACTAGGATATATATATTAAATATACAGTACACTTTGTTCATATGAAATATAAAGCACTTGCCTTGGTTAGGTAAATTCAAAATAGTACAACTAAATAGTAATTGGGGTGGGGGTAGGGTGGTTGATGGTTCATGAAACATATTCTCCCATATACCTTGACAAAATATTATAAAAAAAATATAGTAAACCTAATTTAATTATAATAAAGCAAATAAGAAAATTCTTTTATACATTTTAACTATAATTACGCTACTTTAATAAATTATTATTTTAAAAATAATATCCAATCAGATTTGAACATGGTGAACTTATCTAACCAGAAGATTGTGGCCATCGAAGACTCGGCCTTCGAGTTCCCGCGAGCCAATTGGGATCGCATAACAATTAACCTTGAGAATAATAAACTAGACGGTTGTAGGTTTGGGTCGCACGTATTTCCCACGAACAAAGTAACCAAGCTCATGTTGGCCGGCAATATGAACCTGAAGTTCTTACCCGACGGCGCGTTCCATGACTTTTTTGAGGAGAGAGGTCACGACAGGAATACGTGCGATATGTCGGGCAATCTGATGAAGATTGACCGGCGAAATATGTGGCTCGTGGACAATAAAGTGACCATGAAGCTAGATCAAAAATTATTGAATGCTTGGGGAGAGGACGGCATTCCACTCCTAAAGCATACGCACAAACAGATGGATGTGGACCCGAAACCGCCCTGTACAACCACACGATAATATTACATGAATTTGAATGAATTTTGTATAATTTTAAAATTTAATATTTTTTGTTTTATGTATTGTAATGAACATTTAAATTATATCTAAAAAAGTATCAAGAAATATTTGTTTTGAATGTATTTTTAAAATAAAGCAAATGTGTATTTTATATGATTGATGTTATAATACAAAATACAATAATTAATATTAAATGAAAAATAAATCAAGAATATTCAAAATTATTTAGCAGTAAAATGATCTTTATAAATTAACCTTTATTTCTAAACTATAATATTTAACATTATGAGATAGGCTTTCTGTAAGAAAAAAGGTATAATATTTCTGAATACATAAACTTAAGTCACCTATCACATATTCATAAGATTAATACACTTACCTCAAGTTTATAATAAAATATAATTAATTTGTGTGGGTAATATTTTTATCTATTTATATCAATCAATAAATTAATAAATTAAAGATTATTTGGTGAAATGCATTAATAAATTTGATAAGTACCCGGAATAATTAAATAAATATTAGATGTTCAGTTAATGTTTATACCTATATAAATACAGATTTTGAATTGGAGATATTTTATTAATGTTACAAATATTTATAGTTTTATACATTAATAACAAAATATGAATATTACAGCAGGTATTTAAAATAAAATTTTAACTTTGTCATATTATTAATGTCAAAAATAAAATCATTAAACTTATACGGTATTTCAAATTTATCATATTAACTGCAATTTTATAGGGAATCTATAAATGGATTTACCTATAAGATAAATAAATATATATTTTTTCTAGCAATACTATTGTCAGTGTTAACACTAGCCTGAAGCTTTAATGATGATTACAATTGTACAAAAATAATCAAAGATATTGACAAATGTTCATGCAAAAATCGAGTAGTAAGGTGCATGGATATTGATGAAATCGACCTGGATGAAGTTTTTACATTATTAGCTGAAGGTGTTCCTTATAACTCCCAACAATACGAGTCATTTGAATTGACCAGCAACTATGTCACAAAATTAGATCCGGTACAATTTCATGGTATTCGGTTCAAGGAGGTCAAGTTTATAAATTGCACAAAATTGACCTGTGTCAGTCCACGTGCATTTGAGGGACTACAGTTAAGACGATTTACGAGTAAATTAACTAATTTCAAGTAAGCATGAAACTGTATTTTAATTTATGTAATAATAAAGTTACTATAATACGAGTAATTATATTTAATCTTGCAAGTAAGTTATTAATTATACAATGTGCACGTCATTAATTTTTTATCACATATATTAGACATATTAAATTAAATTATTTTAAAATAATAATATTGTTTCCAGTTTGATTATATTTATTAAATGAACCTAGGGCCCACAATAAGACATGCGATTTATTCGGTGCGTTGAGTACATTGATAAATGTTGAGGAGATTATGATAACCGGCAGTGAAATAGCAGTCATTCCCGACAATGCGTTCAATGATAGGATGGGAGTGTTAGACAGTCTCAGAGCTATTGACTTCGGGGGCTCTCAAACACCCGGACATATTGGACGGGTAGGCAAAAATGCCTTCTCAACACTTAGAAGTATGCATAATTATAAACAATAATATAATAATAATATAATATTATATTTGCAAATAGATTTGAACAAGGTAGACTTATCTAATCAGATGATAACCGAGATCGGGGACCAGACGTTCCAGGTTCCACGAGCCCAATGGGATCACATAACAATTAACCTGGATCATAATCAACTTATAGGGCAAGGGTTTGGCTCTCACGTATTTCCCATAAACAAAGTGACCAAGCTAATGTTGAGGTACAATGGAAAATTGCATTATTTACCGGAAAGGCTTTCCGCGACCTTTTTGAGGAAACGGGTCATGACATAAGTACGTGCGATGTGTTGGATGATAAAATGGACCTAGATAGAAATAATTTATGGCTTGTGGACGATTCAGATGAGTTAAATTTGAGGGAAAAATTATTGCATTTTATGTGGCAGGACGGTAGGGAACTCCTAAATCATACACACGATGAGATTGATAAAGACCCTCCGCTAGACTATGCTTTACGCAGTAATACTGTAATATCATAATATAATTTTCTATAATTAATTAAATATTTATCGTCGTGGTTAATAAAATTATAAATTTTTAATAAATTACAATTTGTATTTAGAAAATATTCAATAATAAAATTAATTAAAAGAAGTACAAAATTTTATTTAAAAAATTCGTTATCTTTAAAAAGATATTAATACTGGATATTGATATAGGAATAATTAATAAGAGATATTTATATATGGGTCTCATCATGCAGAAAAGGGGCATTTATTTTGCAGGGCGAACTGTAAACATAACCATATCAATGATTTTAATACTAACACACAGTGTTTATTACTTATGAAAAGCATTGATTAGGTTTTGCACACAGTTTGCACTGCAAAATAAATGCCCCTTTTCTGCATGATGAAACCCATATGGACTGATATTTGTTGAAGTAACTCTAGAAAATAAATATGTGCTACAATTACAGCTTGAAATTTATTTTCTAAAGTTTATTCAGCACTGGCCTATCCATATATTAAAATAATATTATATAATGTGTAACTACTAATATATTAAATAGATGGTGAATATAAAGCAAGTACAAACAATTTATAACAATTAAAAATATTCCGAGAATTGTATTGCATTTTCTAATTGAATAGATAATACTGTAAATTAAGCATGTGTTTATTATACAGTACAAAAAAATTGTCTATATACAGTATATGCAAACATTTTGTACACATTTTTATTTGTATACTTTGAATATTAAATATATTCAGAATTATTAATTTAAAATTTGATCAAAATATAAAATAAAATATGTTAGTTATAATTTATGCAATAGGTAAGTTAATTGAAATTATATTTTGTTGGTAAAAATATAGTAGAAAGCATATTATTCATAATATTATTTGATTATAGCATTATTTTGGTCATCTACCAGTGCCAGTGACTACTGCCCAGACCCTGCTGACATATTACCATGCACATGCCACAACAATCACATTAAATGTGTAGCAACAACTAAAGAACTGGACCTTGATAACTTTTTCGATGCATTAGCCCACGTAACTAATGACACCTTATATTATAAATCATTTGAATTAGTAGACACTGCCATAACCTACCTGCCCCCAGCGGCATTTCACGGTGTACAATTTGGTGAACTAAAATTTACCGGCTGTTCAAAACTGCAATGCGTTGATCCCCGTGCTTTCGTGGGGCTGGCATATAATACAACCAGTTTTATGGTTGAGGTCAGCGATTTTAGGTAAGCTAACCAATATTAGTTTTATAAATATACCTAATACATTTTTTCGATTCATTTTTAAAATTTTAAATTATATAACTAATCTAATAGTAATTAATAACTGTTTGTCTATTATAGAGGTGTCGACCCTCCCAACGCTACCTGTAATCTGTTTGCAGCGTTGAGTACATTAACAAATGTGGAGACTATTAGTATAGTCGGCAGTGAACTAACAGCTATTCCCGATAATGCTTTCAATGACAATACCGGTGCTCTCACTAGGCTTAAGACTATTGACTTCGGGGGTCGACAGACAAAGGGAAAGATATATAAAATTGGCAAAAGAGCCTTTTCTACTCTAAAAAGTTAGTATCATTTAATTACTGTATAATATACAGCTACTACTATTCAGTTTTGTTATAATATTTATACATAACATCAAATTATTTTAATATACAGTAAAGTATTATAATACATACGTTTATGTTCTAGAATCTAAAACCAGTTTAAATATAAAATAAATTTTTAAAATGATAATTCATGACTGATATAATTGCATACAAAATAAATTATAATCAATCAAGATTCCAATTAATATATGAAATAATATTTTATACATACAACATATTTAACATTACAGTCTGTCATAATTAAAATAATTTCCATAAACAGACAATTTAATAAATTATTATTATTCATTTACACATTTATTATACATTATCATAAACAATTAATTTTTTTATATTTAACATATAGTTAATTTTCAACTTTATCTTAAAATATATATAATATATATATTTTGTTTCTTACAGACCTGGAGCTAATCGACCTGTCCAATCAAAACATTGATAAAATACTTGACTATACATTTGAATTTCTCGATTCCAGCCTAAACACCTCGATAACAATTAACCTGGAGCACAATTTCTTATACAGCTACTCATTTGGCAAGGACGTGTTTTTATCCAACAGGTCTACCCAGCTTAAACTGGGCGGTAATCCCTATTTACACGCCTTACCCGAACTGGGGTTTCACGAGTTTTTTGGGGAGAAAAGTCACGCAAACAATACGTGCGATGTTTTGGGCGATATGTTAGCCATTGATGTGAGAAACCAGTGGTTAGTTCGCTATAAAGTAAAGTTAGGCCTAAATAGGAAGCTATTGTATGCCATGGGAATGGACGGCAAGTCTCTGTTGAATCATACGGAACAGGAGATGAGTGGCGACCCGCCTATTACCGAGGCTCCTGGTGCTGTTAGAGTATATGATGTTTAATTGTAATGCAATTGTATGTATTTTACAAACTCAATGTTTTTTAAAATTTTAATCATTATTTGTGTAACAGTGTTTAGTATGTTTAGTTGGTTATATAAATTTTAATTACTGTAATGTTATACTATGTATTAAAATATCTTGATAAGTACAGATAGTGAGCGAAATGCATAATAATGAGTACAATATTTCAATCCAAATATTTTTATTTTAAAAACTAAATATATTTTTAATAAATATTTTATGATAACAATACAAATAATTACAAAAAATAATTTAGAAATATGTTTCTAACATCTATTAGTAATATGAGTATGATTTTATTATTAAAAATAAAAATACAATTTCATGATAATGAATTTCACTATTTGATAAATGATAAAGCACATTTTACCATTATTAATGTCAATGCCATTAATATAAAAAAAACTTAAAATATCCGGATATTAACTGAAGATATTAATCTTGTATATAAATATTGTATTAAAATACTAGTAATAAAATTTAGGTCAACAACTTAAGTCTTTTTTGTCACTTGTTAATTGACATTGATATTTAATTTATAATAGATAAATCCAAGTTTTAATAATTGTCATATTTAATCTTAGCAATTTATTTAATATAAATTATATTCATATTAAAAAATATAATAATATAATTCATTAAAATATTTAATATGTTTAATATCATATCTAGAATATTAATTTAATTTATTGAATTTAAATGATATACAGAATATTTTAAATATTTTTTTTTGCTAACAATTGTTACTTTAGTAACCCTAAAATAATGACCTACATAGATTTTCAGTTACAAAGTATATTATAGATAAAATAGCTAAACAAAATATTGATTAGTAAACAATTTGTCTACCTAAGCGGCAATATGATCAAGGTTGACACTAAAGATATAATATTTTTAAAAGCACATATAAAATAATTATGTTAAAGGTAATCCACATTTCACTTTTATTTTTGTGTTAAAATTGTTCAAACATGGGATTTAGACTAGGTAACTTATAAACTAAAATAACTTTATTCTAATAAAATATTTATTTCAAAAATTAAACTTATTTTACAGCACTTATACTAACAGCTATAGCGCTGACCAATGCGTGTGACTACTGCCCTAACCCTGATGACTTTGCACCATGCACGTGCAATAACGATGTTATCAAATGCGTGGACACTGCCGGTGAATTGGACCTAGATGACAAATTTTCACAGTTAGCACAGGGTGCCCCCTATGGGTCCAGATACTACACGGCTTTTCAGCTGGAAAGTAGCTCAATGACCATGCTACCAGCTTCCGTATTTCATGGCATTCAATTTGGAGAACTCCGGTTCATAGGGTGCTCTAAACTGTATTGTGTGGACCCAAAGGCTTTCGAGGGACTGGGACCCAGGATTAATAGGTTTACCGCCGAGTTAACCAATTTTAGGTATGATCTTAATTAAATAATTTTGGTCGCTTATACGCAGCCTAAAAATAATTTATTTAGAAAGTGCCAAGTTTAAAAAATATTGTAGTGCTGAGCAACTTATAATTGTGGTTATAATGTAGAAATTTCAATTTTCTAATTAACTCATTGAGTTTATTTTGTTTAATTATACTATTTTAATTATCATAAACCTAAAAGATATTTCAAAATTTGTTAATTATTTTCCATTATATATTGTATTGGACTTTATTGGGTCTTTATTGTATATTATTGTTTACCAAAAATGTACCTAATGTTCTATTAATTATTTTATAAAAGCTCCCCGGTCATCTCAACGGTCAACTATACGTGTGACCTGTTTTCGGCGTTGAGTACATTGACAAACGTGGAGACCATTAGTATAACCGGCAGTGAAATCATCGCAATTCCCGACAATGCCTTCAATGATCGGATGGGAGTACTCGTGAACTTACATACCGTGGACTTCGGGGGCCGACAGACTAAGGGCAAGATTGGGACAGTTGGCAAAAATGCCTTCTCAACACTCACTAGTAAGTCATTTATTTACCTTACAATTTGTTAGTTGATAATGATTAAGTACGTAAAGTATGTGTGCTAGTTTGTTAAATAAGGATTTTATATGGCTTTAATTTTTTATAACAAACTGTTCAAAAAATAGTTTAAATTGCTTTAGTATAAGAGGTTGTTACATTTATTACAACTGGGTCAATGTAGCGTTGTATTATAATATTATAATTATAATTAATATTAATTAATATTATAATATCAATTAAGTATTTATTTTATAAAACTTAAAGCGACATTCAAAACAATTACTTTATATAATAGATTATAACAATTTTAAATTTTATGATACATAAACTTAATGAATTACAAAATATTAAATTTTTTATCAAAATAAGTCGCTTATCTATTGTCTTAAATTAATTACTATTGTATATTGAAATGACCTTTATAAAATAATAACATTTTTATTATATAATGATACCCAGACCTAAAACTGGTGGACCTGTCCAACCAGAGGCTGATCAACATCCATGACTACGCCTTTTCGTTCACGACGGCCACGTGGGACCGCATATCCATTCACTTGGAGGGCAACCAATTGAATGGCCTGTCATTCGGCGCACATGTATTCCCCACCAATCGGGTCACGAACCTGACCCTCACGGGTAACCCTAAGCTCAGTTATTTGAACCAGAGCAGTTTCTACGACTACTTCGAGGACAGGGGTCACGACCCCAATATCCTGGATATATCGGGCGATCTTCAGGAGGTGGACACCAATAACGAGTGGCTGATCGACAATAAAGTGGCGCTCGGCCTACAGAAGAAGTTGTTTAATGCGATTGCAACGGATGGTCGACCCCTTTTGCAACACACCCACAAGGAAATGACTGCCGCGCCCACCACTACCACCGTGGCGTCGGTAGTTAATAGCGATGATGACCAGGATGATTCGTAAAATTTTATTAATTGTGTTTAATGATACATAATATTAAAATAGCATTTAATTGTTTTTCAATAAGGGAGGTAATTATTTTTTAATTTAAAAAATAAAAGTTTACTTGGTGTTACTGCACCACCTATCCCGGATAATTATTTTAAAAAATAAAAATAAAATATTTAATAATTAGTTTTATAATGTTACAGTTTTTGTAAAATATTTTGATTCTCTATCAAATAATAGTTTTATAAATAAAGTGAATTTCACGAGTAAATGAATAAATAAAAAAGGTCGAGCCAAAATTAATCTAGATTAATTTAAACAATTTAAGCCTTTAAACCATAACATTGGACAGTTCAATATTTTAAACCTGCGATAGTAGATAGTAGCGATGATGACCAGGATGATTAGTAAAATTAAAGTAATTTGGTTTTATGATAGTGTTATAATTAAATTTAATTGTTTTTAAATAAGGAAGGTCATTAAAAAAAATTATTTAAAAATTCAAAATTTTCTTGATGTAATTAGACTGGAGATGTTTGGACCCACATAATTATTTTTAATTATAAAAATAAAATACTTAATTAATTGTTTTATAATATTACAGTTTTTATAAAATAAATTTGTTTAAAAAATATTTTGTTAGTGCATTAAAATAATATTTTTTAATATCAAGATTAAATAGCTAATGTTTACTTATGTTTTTAAAGTACTTAGTTTCAATGTCTATAATGAGGTACTAAGTTATAATCTGTAACAATGTTATTAATCGTTTCAAAACTTATGAAAAACTTCATAATATTGTATGATTTTAATAGGATGCACTTGACTTTTAAAAGATATTTAGCAAGGTTATTTGAAAATAATATAAGTTCGAAAGTACTAATTCTTAAATAAACGTATTTTTCATTATCACTTTGTGGCTTAACATAATTAGCAATGGGTTATACACTAGGTAATTTTAAAAATATTTAACTTAAAAAAATAATTTTAATGATTATTTTAATTTATAAAAATCTGTCCTAGTATACTTACTATCTATAATCGCACTGACCTACGCATGCGACTTTTGCCCCAACCCTGATGACTTTGCACCTTGCACCTGTAGCAACGACTGGATCAAGTGCGTGGACGCTAGCGGGGACCTGGACCTGGATGACAAATTCACTCAATTAGCTGCCGGTGCTCCCTATGGGAGCCGTTATTACACGGGCTTTCAACTGGAGAGTAGTTCGCTGACCGAATTGCCCGCTTCGGTGTTTCACGGCATCCAATTCGGCGAAATCAAAATGATCGGGTGCTCCAAACTGTCCTGTGTCAATCCTATGGCATTTGGGGGTTTAGGGCCTAGGATCAATAGGTTCACGGCCGAGTTGACTGATTTTAGGTAAGTTTATTAGTAAGTTTTATACTGTATGTGCATGTTAATTTTGTAGATTTTGTCGATTAATAGTATCATTGTAATTTAATTTTACAATAAATTAGCTATATACAGTACCCATTTTTGGCTGTAGGTACAGTCACTTAAATGGTGTTTAAAAATGATTATACGTATCAACCATGCACCTTATTGATTGAACTCAGTAGTGCTAGTTAATTTACAGTTTAACAGTTTACAGTTGATAAACAGTTTATAGTTGGCTAAGGTTATCAATATAACAATTATTGTTTTAATTAGTATTGTAACTATTATAAGATTTAAATAAAATGTTTTTATGAAAGTGACCCAGTAAACTCCACTTGTAATCTGTTTGGAGCATTGAGTACATTAACAAATGTGGAGACCATTACCATAACCGGCAGTAATATAATCCAAATCCCCGACAATGCCTTCAATGACAAGATGGGAGTCCTCACTAATCTGCATACCGTTGACTTCGGGGGTCGACAAACCCGTGGTAAGATTGGGACAGTTGGCAAAAACGCCTTCTCAACACTCAGAAGTAAGTTAACCTGATCAGTAATTTATAAATACACATTATAAACATTTATACAATCTGGTTTGTGATACTAATTTAAATGACAATACTAATTTGTACTAATAATATAAGATTACTTTAAATTTTAAAGTATTTTTATATCGTATCTAGCACATTCACAATGCTAGCCAATACATTAGCATAACTAATAAGTTATTAAACTAATTATGTACTAGCAGCAAAATAGTAGTTATAAAATATTTTAAGCCTAAATAATTTTAAAATGAATTATAACACACATAATTAACATTGTATAAAACTTTACAATCTGACCCAGACCTAAAACTGGTGGACCTGTCCAACCAGCTCATTGTGAACGTATCGGACTACGCCTTTTCGTTCACGTACTCCACGTGGGACCGCATAACCATCCACTTGGAGGGCAACCAACTGCACGGCAACTCTTTCGGGCAGTACGTGTTCCCCACGAATCGGGTGACGACCCTAACCCTCACGGGTAACCCGAAGTTGAGTTATTTACCGCAGACTACTTTCTACGACTTCTTCGAGGACAGGGGTCACGACCCCAACACGTGCGACATGTCCGGCGACCTCATGGAGTTGGACACCAATAACGAGTGGCTGATCGACAATAAGGTGGCGCTCGGCCTACAGAAGTAGCTGTTGAACGCCATTGCGACTGATGGTCGACCCCTTTTGTCACACACCCATAAGCAAGTGACCGGTACTCCGCCCACCAGTACTACAGTGGCCAGTGACCAGGTAGATGATGAGTAGGTCGAGGTGGTGGTGACCAGGTTTAATTAGTTTAATATTGTGCTATGGTTAGTTTTGTTGAAATAGTAGTTAAAGTTTGTTAAGTTTAATATTATTGTCTCTATTTTCATTTTATTATAAATAGATGAATACAATTTTAATCAAGCATAAAACTGTTGTATTTCCAGTAAATTAAATAAATTATTTATAAAACGAGATGATATGCACAATATTTAACTTATAATAGTAAAGGTTTATTGTCAACGTCATTTATGTACTACTGTATTATGTTATATGACAGAATATAAGGTTATTTGCTACTAAAAGTTAAAATAACTTGCTTAAATAGCTTTAACTCGGAAAATAATGGAATTAATAATTATTAAATGGCATTTAGAAATAATTTTAAACTGAATATGATTAATCCAGTTGAAAAAATAAATAAAAAGTAAAAATAACGACAAAAAACAAAAAAGAAATTGTGCGCCAGCCGGGAGTCGAACCCGGATCAACCGCTTGGGAAGCGGCTATGCTGACCGTTATACCACTGGCGCGACTGAGTATATAATGCTTACGAGGTTGAATTCGTATGTATAGTCTTAATGCTATTTATAAACACTATTGTATTGTATTGTTTTACAGTGTGTAGGTGTATGCGCTTGAAAATTTTTATGTATTATTTTTTGAATCGATATGTTTGTATAGTTAATTGTCATTTAAAATTTTACTATTAAGTTTATTTATAATAGTTTATTTTACTAATTTTGATAAAACTATTTATGTAACTTATGTATTATTTTTAGATTTAACTAGCATATTTAATGCCAATTACAGTAATAATACAGTAGTACTCTATTACCTATGAATTTTAATTATAAATAGATTTTAATTTTAATAATTATTATGATTGGCATAAAATTTTATGATTAAATAAAATATATTATTTAAAATGATGATAAACTTATTTTTAAAATTAATGTGACATAATATGAATTGATTTTGAAAACTTATTGATCACTTTTATTAAATATCAAAAATAAATTGC